ACTGTTATTTTCCAGTTCTTCTTCACAAATGCCAACAAGCTGACAGTCACAGTTATGAACAGTGTTTATATCTAATAAAAACTTTATAATAGCACAGTGAACACATTTATGAAGCTGCTTTAAATGACGTATTTTGTACTTTAATGTTTTTAATACATCACTAATCATTGAGGTGTTGTTTGTGGTAACTTTAACTTTTTAGTTTGCAGTAAATAAAATGTACAATTTAATTTGTGGAATTTGTTCAAGTGGAACCTAAATTAAAACATATTTAGATCAACATGTCACCTGTTTGTTTGTTTAGCAAATTAAATGAACCTTTCAGCAGTAAATCATGTTGGTTTGGGTGTTTATTGCACATTTTTTTTCTTAATATTTCTACTTTCTGTGTTTAATCTCAGAGTTTCCTCTTTTTATTCATGCACATAACGGGGGAGGAGGAGGAGGAGGGAGGCAGAGGGGAAAACTTTCAGCGATTCTTTTGTCTTTAAAACAATAATTTGGTGAAAGAAAGTCCCGTCTGGGCTTCATTAGCTGGACTCTCTCATGTGGGGCTGAATGGAGATGACATTTAAAACTGTTAGTTGGGCAGAAAACAGCTGCCAATCACTCTTAAAGGGGAAGGATTGCAATTAACAGACCTCTCCTCCTAATCCCTCCGTCTCACCTCCTCCTCCTCCTCCTCTTCGGCTTCGTCCTCCTCCTCCTCCTCCTCTTCGGCTTCGTCCTCCTCCTCCTCCTCTCGCCTCACTCCTCTCCCACTCTCCTCTCCGAGTGGATGGTGTCTCTGCAACCGGTGGCTTTACTCACTTTCCTGGAGTTTTTTCAGTTTTCTGTTTTGCCGGACAAACTGAGGCTCGGTTACTGAGGGAGATGTGAGAGGATCCAGCCCAGCTGAGTGACTGCACACGGCGGATCTGAAGAGTGACGGAGGAACAGGTGGAGAACCGGCAGCAGGAACTTCAACAGTTCAGCATATTTACCTCCAACAGGTAGGAACTGATGCTCTGCTGCTTTAATATGTTGTTTTAAATCTGCCTTGTTGTGGGGCAAACTCCCAAAAGTGAAGCTCGAGGAGAATATTTCTACTTTTAATGCACTGAACTGACTTCTTATTTTGTATGTTTCAACATTAATTGACAGATTTTTCAAATTTCAGCCATTTTTTTTGCATATATATCGATTTTTACAGCCTCTTTAGTTGATCAACCATCGCTAGATTTTAACATTTTGTCGTCTTTGTGTCAGCATCAGATATTAAACGTGTCGCTCCCGGCATCAGGCAACAAGCAGACTAATTTTATCATGACTTGTCAGCAGGATAATCCCGTTTAGATGGACAGCGAGTCGGCTCAGGTAACCGGGTGACCTCTGACCCGCCGCTCTACCTTTAGCAGGGAACGTTCCCGCAACATCACCACCTGCGAGCTTAAGCAATGTTTAAAAGTTTTAACCTCAAAGAACGTTTTGAGGATGTTCCCGTGATGTTAAAAGTTAACTATGACGCAATTCAGGGGATGTTTGGAGGATGTTGTTAGATTATGATCACAAAAAATGTTTCTGAACGCCACAGATGGTTTCTGTAAAAAGTTCCTGTCATGGGATGTATTAACAAACATTTGTTGTTAAGGGAACACATCATAGAACGTTCCTCTATGAAGCATTTTCACAACGTTCCACGATAATGAAGGAGAAACGTTTTTTTAAAAATAAAAAGCTTTCCAGATGTTATCGAGGTCTTTATAGATGTATTAACAAAACATTCTGCCTGCAATGTTCTGAGGATGTTTTAGTGATGTTGAAGTAACTGGGAACGTTCCCACAATGTTCTATGAGGGGAAGGAAGGATGTTCTCAGTGCAACATCCAAAAAACGTCTTCCAGATGTTATCAAGGCCTCGGATGACAGAACGTTCTTGATAAATGTAGAAAGATGGAACGTTCTGCCTGCAATGTTCTGAGGACGGTTTAGTGACATTGAGGTGAAGCATTACAGAACGTTTCTGCAGAAAACATTCCTACAACGTTCCACGATGCCAAGTGGTGGCAAAAGAAAAAGGTTCTCAATGTAAGTTTAGAAAACTTGTAAACTTTTTGTTCCGAATATGTTTTGGGAATATTGTCAAAGGAACAAATTCCAGAACGTTCTAGAAAATATGGCCAAAGAAGGACGTTCTCATTGCAACATTCCAGTCCAAAAAATGTTACCACTCATTGTTTATTCCACCTTTAAGGAGAACGTTCTCTTAAGAAATGTTTCCAGATGTTATCGATGCCTCAGAAGACACAATGTTCTTTATAAATGTATAAATGTATTAACGGAGGTGGAACGTTCTGCCTGCACTGTTTTGGGGATTTTTTTGCGATACATGGCTAATGTTTTCAAACCAACGTTTAAAAAATGCTTTCCAGATGTTATCGATGCCTCAGATGGCAGAATGTTCTCAAGAACTGTGTAACAGAGGTGGAACATTCAGTGCTACAAAGAAAGACATTCTCAGTGCAACATCCAGACAACTTTTGAAGAACACTACAGGCATAATCTAACAATGTGATTGCTGAACATTTTCAGAATGCCTGTGCTTATTCCACTTCTAAGGAGCTTAAACCAATATTTGAAGAACCTTTGTCTGATGGTATTGAGGCCTGCATTGTTTCAGGATGTTTTGGGGATGTTGTTGAGGAACCCATGACAGAACGTTTTTGTTGAATCAAGAACATCTATTCTTTGCCATCATGGAACATTCTGGTAAAGTTTTCTGTCACCTCAACATCACTAAAACGTTCTCAGAACATTGCAGGCGGAATGTTCCACCTTTGGTAATTCATCTATGGAGAACATTCAGTCGTCTGAGGCCTTGATAACATCTGGAAAACGTTTTTTTCAATGTTGGTTTGAGACCGTTCCTTGTTTGCCATCATGTCGCATCATGGAACACTGTGGGAACGTTCTCAATTACTTTAACATCACCAAAACATCCTAAGAACATTGCAAGCAAAACATTCCACCTATAATATTACATTTAGACATTCTCAATGGAACATTCAGAAAACTTTTAGAATATCTGTAGTCATTCCACCTTTAAGGAGAGCATTTTCAAACCAACATTCAACAAACGTTTTCCAGATGTTATCAATGCCTCAAATGATAGAATGTTCTTTATAAATTGATATGTATTAACAAAGGTGGAACATTCTGCCTGCAGTGTTCTGAGGACGTCTTAGTGATGTTTCGGGAACAGAAAACATTACTACAATGTTGGGAGAATGTGCTCAAACCAATATTTGAAGAACATTTTCTAGATGTCACCAAAGCTTCAGATGACAGAACATTCTTTAGAAATGTATTAATATAGGTGGATGATTCTGTCTGCAATGTTTTGGGGATGTTATCGAGGGAACAGATTACAGAACGTTTATCTAAAAAAGATGGTAAAGGAAGAACGTTCTCAGTGCAACATTCCGAAAACTTTTTACGAATGTCAGGGCATAACAGTCCATCATCTTGTCACTAAATGTTTTTAGAACGCCTGCAGTTATTCTAAAGGAGAACTTCCGACTAAAAACAATCACTAGCACTTTGCACAACGCTCTCAGAATGCTGTTAGAACCTAAGTTCCGGCGGTTCCTCCCTCCACAGGCCCCGGCTGATCGCCCAGACGCTCGGATGCATTTATCACTGGACACCATGAGCATGGTGGACGACAGCTGCCTCTCGCCCAGTAGCTTCCACGAGATGGGGAAAGGCGGAGGCGTCGCCGCCGGAGGCCGCGTCCACAGCATCGACGTCATCCTGGGCTTCAGCAAGGAGCAGGACCCCCTGCTCAGTCCGGCCCCGGGGCCCCACAAGGTGAACATAGACGGCCTGGGAGAACCGGGCAAGCAGCAGGAGAACCATCCGTCCTACAGCGGACACCTTTCAGCTCTGAGGAACAGCAGCACCGAGCAGCAGTATCACGGTGAGCCAGAGGCCTCATCGCACCACGGCCATGCCACTCAGGGGGACGTTATCAAGGATTTATGAGCAGTTTGTGCTTTAAATCAAATCAGATGGTTCCGGTATTGATCACTCAGCAGCACCAGTGGCCCGGGAAGGCTGAACTTTAGCTTCAGTGTTTCAGACATTTGAAATCAGGGAAGACAGAATTGATTTTGCTGCAGTGCAGTTATGATATCGACGCCTCTGTGCAAACATAATAAACCTTCAGACTACTTTACTGCTGACTATAAACTTATCCGGATCGGTCTCTCATGAGCCAAAACAGAACTTGACCAAGAACCAGAAAAAAAAATGGGGCGGATTCGCGATAAAACTTAAAACGAAAATCCAGCCAGAATATGTAAACTGAGAAAACATCCATCTAGGATCTGATTTTTGATATTTTTGCCCAAAGAGGATTAAAAATGACACCAATGAAAAATTCTGATTAACCAACCAATAGAACTTAACTTTAATAGATAATAACCAAGAAATAACAGACATAAGATGCAGTTTTTTATCATTATCGTTGCCGTTTTCATAATTTAAGCTATTGTTTGATGGCACAAACTCCTGGTAAACAAACCTCTTCACACGAGGCTACTCCTGTGTGTTTAGCTCATATACGTCGCTGCAGTTTGCATCCTGTCAGCGTGCAGATTGACTACTGTACAGCCCGTTGCATTAACCCCGAACTGTGTGCGCTGAGATTTGAGAGATAAATCACAGGACAAGATGGTGCAGAGGGGTTTATGTCCCCAAGACCAATCCCATCCCCTTGTGGAATTCCCCTAATCTGCTCTTCTGTGCGCAGATTAGATTGTACAGTCGTTCATTCGGGTGTTATTGTTATCGCTCGGTGGCAGAATCAAATTTGTTAGATTTAATCTGAAGCTATTTTCACATCCAGGATCAGGCAGGTGGTTGGAGGCCGAAAGAAACGAGAAAAATAAATGTTGTTTCCATAAACTGGAGATGCGTCTAACCTCCCCCAGAGAAGTGATTCCTGTTCGGTTTGACACCAACTGAACGCCGTAAAACATCATGACGTCGATTACAGCTTCTACAGTTTAGATTTTTTTGTCAAATGATGGTTCCTAAAATCAAAAATGAACCTTCACACTTACCAAAATAGGTTTAGTTTGTCATCTGTACACCGTAAAACACCCTAAAGAGAATTGAGTCAAATCAACTCATCTTTTCTAGTTCATTTAATGTGAATCTGTGAGTTTAACTAATTTTTTGTTTCTTGAACTTAAAAATGTCTAATTTAAATTTTCAGATCACTTTACAACTCATCAACATGAGTTTATATATATATATATATATATATATAAAGGTTTGACTTAAAATGATGAGTTGAATGAATGAACAGCTGAGAGTTCATTGAACTCATTTAGAGTAAGTTTAGAAGAAACGAAACTAGAACATAAGTAGACCCAGGATTCTTTTTTAGAGTCTTAAAACTCCACAGAAACTCTTGTTTTTTGATTAAAAATGGATTAAACAGCTGAGACTGTGAGTTCTCAAAGTTAAATGAAGAAATAAACTCTCCAAACCTGTGTGTCTGACTAGTTAATTCAACTTAATATCTTGAGTTCATTGACCTCGTTTTCTTAAGTGCATTTAATTTAACTCAGCTGGTTTTACACTTTCATAACTAATTAGCTTTTAGGGCAGCAGGCTGATTGAGGCATCACAGTGAGTTGAATTAATGAGAGTTTGTTGAACTCATTAAATTAAGTTTATCGGAAAAAAATCAAACCTATGGGCAGATTTCCCAGAATGCAATGTGGGAGACTTAAAAGTCCCCAGAAACTCTTGTTTTTTTGGTAGTTTGAGGAAACAGACCTGGAGAAAACTTGCTGTGTGTCTTTGTTAATTTAAGTTGTGGTTTTTGCTTTTTATTAAAATCAAAACAGTTCCAATCATGATAAAGTCTGGTGCTGAATTCAGTCCCCTGATAATTAATCTCACTGTGACCAGGACCAAATAAAACCTCAAAAAGGGGCTTCAACCGCTGAGACTTTAAGTTCTGAAAGTTAAAAGAAGAAATTTGAAACTTGTTGATTCAACTTAATATCTTGAATTCACTGAACTTGTTTTCTTCAGTTCATTCAACCAGCAGCTACTTTTACATTTTCACAGCTCATGAGACGACTCTGAACCCATTAATCCATCTAACTCTGTGTGTTTAAGGACCTTCTGAGCTTCAGTGAACTTTAAACGCTGCTCGGTGCTTGTATCTGAATCCGGGGGCTCCAGAATGAGCAGCTCCTCTGTTCGGTGTCGCCCCTCTCCGAGCCGAGATGTTCTGATAAACAGCGGGGAGGCTTCAGACTGCGCTGGCTGACAGACCCAGAGCTGGTCACTGAACCAGACCTGACCTCTGCCTTTGTCGCAGCCTGGCCTTTGTCATAGCCGCTTAATGAGAGGTGGATAAATGAAGCCCCCGAATCCTGCCTCGCCACGGCACAGACCACAGTGACCCCTCTTTTATCTCCGTCAACACGTCCCATTAGCGGGAACAAGCTAACGTTTAGATTCATGGACAGTCGGCCGTTTCACCGGAGCTCTGAAAGAGGCTTCAGAGATGAAACCTTCAACACGCTTGTAGGTTGTTTCAGAAATCTAAGTTTCTCTGCTGCACTTAAGACGATTAATTAGTTGTGAGCTGATTTTGAGAAAACAAGTTCAACAAACTTGAGATATTAAGTTGAATCAATTAGTGACACAGACACAGCGGTTACAGATGGACTCACTTTTGCATTTTTATTTTTATTTTTTACAGTTTTTTTCCTCATTGAACACTGAAAACTCACAACCTGAACTCTTGAAGCCATTTTTTTCTCACCAGAGTCAGAACAGAGATAAACTATATGTCTTCAGGTAGAGACTCATCTGCTCAACTTCTAGGTTTGTTTCTGATCATTTAATGAGTTGAATGAACTCTCAGCTGTTCATTCATTTAACTCATAATTTTAAAGTTATTTTTAAGTTCTAAAGTGATCTGAAAAATCAAAGTAAGACATTTTAGGTTCATTTATCTACACAAAACGAATTTATTTTCCTTAAGTAAAGTAAAAAAAGTTGAGTTGATTTGACTAAACTCCTTAATAATGTTCCACAGTGTACTAATGACAGTGTGAAGGTTCATTGTAGACTTTAAAAACCATAATTTGACTAAAAAGAAGTCACTTAAAGCAGCTGTAATCAATGTTTGTACTATGACAAATTAAAAACGTGTGCAGCTCATATCAGCTTTACATCGTTTTGTAGTAAGTTGAATTTTTTTTACTTTAGCTGCCTCTCCTGGAATGTTTCTGGTTTGGTTGCTCTCACATAATTTTTTGGCTCCAGTAAGCAGCTGTTTGCCGAGAAAAATCTGCTTTTTAATCAAGCCACTGTTATTTATGTCACATTTAAAGCAATAGTTACTGTAAACATGGAGGTTGAGACCCTACAGCGTTATTTATGATGTGAATTCACCTGAGCGGTATAAATATTAAGCATTAAAACCCTGCAAACATCACAGAAAAATAACTTTAACTCGCAATGTTTATATATTTAGGCTAAGATCCAGCAGTATTGTTAATCTATAGAGCTAAATTTATGACCAACCTGATGCCTGATCACCACCAATCAGCCAACTTGATGCAGTAAAGACAGCTAATTCCTGCAGCAGGTTGGTGGAGACCAAACCTGGAGCAAAAACACACTAATTATTGAACATTGCATCTGTCAGGCAAACAGAAACAGAACTTCAGATGCTCTTTAACAGCTGCACAGGCACAAAAGCAGCTGAAAATGTGCCTTACAACTTGTTTTTGTTGCCGTAAAGGACTAAAAAGATGATTTTACTGAAGGTTTAAAGTCCACCGAATGCTCTCAAAACAACTTTATTGTCCAACTATAAGCGTTAGTGCATAAATAATCGTCCTAATCATGTTAGATTTCTGCAGATTGATTGTTTCAGACACCGACCAAATGATCGTCTCCACTCTTACGTGCGTAACTTTGTGAGTATTTAAAGTCCAGTTAACCTACTTTCTGAGGCGTCTTATCCGACGTCAGCTCGGTGATGTACATCGTCTGATTCAGGTCCAGCGTTGGCAGACGTCGACTACACAAGACCAACTGATCTAATTGCTGGATCATCATCTTTGGACTTTATTTAATTAAATTAGCTGCTTGTTAGTCTAATTCTAATGCAGCCAGCAGCCCGGTGCCGACTGCGGTAAAGATCTCATTGTTGCGCTGTTGCTGCGTTTTCTGTATTTCTTTACCGGTGAAGACGATGAAGAGTTGAGACGAAGGACGGCTCAGGTTTAAATATTAGAGAGAACTGTGGATGTTCATGTGTTTTGGATGCATTTTAGGAAAAATATATTTTCTCTTGCTCATGTTTTGATCATAATTAACGACACAATAAGAATTAACAACCTAAAGTACAAAAATAGAGTTTTCTCTCTTTACATATGAATCAACACATAAAAATAAAACTTTGTAATAACATTAATAACGTTGTAATGATTCAGTAATAACATAATAAAAACACAGAAGTGGTCACAAACTAAACACAACTAAACCTACATGGTTACAGAACAAAAAACTACAATAATTTTATTTGAAATAAAGAGTTAAATAACAAGTAATAAAACAAAATCATTGAAATATACATTTAGAAACAAAAAAATTGCTGTTTTTGGTTTCTTGTTTTTTTAATATACATATAAATCATATTTATTTATATTTTTATGTTAATATAAATTTTAAAAGGAGATCTTTTTTGTCAATACTGAAAAAAAAGTGCTTTCTTAATAAATACTTTCTATAAAATGATTTATGTTACTGCTGTACAGGGTTCTAATTCGTGATTTTAACAAGTTACAGAACAATTTCCATCAAATACTGTCATATAATACAGATTATATATTTATATATATCAGAAACGTTGAGTGTTTACTTGGCACAAGTACAATATTGATTACAGTTACATTATTTTGTCTTTTTCTTTTTACAACCCCCCAAAAAACTATCACACAGACATTGCAACTTGATAATAATCAACAATAACAGACTAATAATCTAGTTATTATATATAACTATAGTTGTACTAACACAGCAGTAATTTTAAAAAAAAATAAAGAAAACGTCATAACAAAGAAAGTTACAGCACTAAAAACCTGCACTTAAGAATAATCAACATAAAGGAATTACATAAAATGGAAAACATGATGCTAGTTCTTATTGTCAACACCAACAAACCAGCTGTTTTAATCATTAATTAATGAAAATCGTGTGTTTCTAGTGTACAGATGTAGGACAGATTCCACTTCCAGCAGAGTTCAACAACAAATCCTGAACGCGACGCAGCGGAAACGTGATTTCCAACTTCGAGTCCACGTAGAGAAAAAGGACCACTTTTGTTTTCCAAATATCTTTTTAAAGACGGGAGAAGATAAACACTGGAAACAAATTTCCTAAATCCGATTAGGAATGTTTCTGAGCTCCGCTGAGCTTCAGCCGACTGCGTGCTTCACTGACCTACAGTAGCCTATTGTTGCAGGTGTCAAACTGATGTGAGCTCTACTGGAAACTCTGCTGCATTCTTAGTTTCTGAAAACCGTTTGCTTTTCCTTTCTCCCTAAAAAAAAAAAAAAAAGGACCTGCTTCACCACTTTGATAATCTCAGTTTTCTAATTTAAGAAAACGACGACCTCATGAATCCTTCCTCCTCCTCCTCCTCCTGTGTCCTGGACAGACTCGGGCTTGTTCACAGATAAGTGCGACGAGGAGCTGAGCGAGCTGAGGAAGAGCGTGGACAGCGACGAAGGAAAGTCCCCGGAGCCCTGCAAGGACGACCAGCCCAAGAAGAAGCACCGACGGAACCGGACCACCTTCACCACCTACCAGCTGCACGAGCTGGAGCGGGCCTTCGAGAAGTCCCACTACCCGGACGTGTACAGCCGCGAGGAGCTGGCCATGAAGGTGAACCTGCCCGAAGTCCGAGTTCAGGTGAGAAGGACCGCAGCGACCCGGAGAAGTTCTAACAGTCAGCTTCACAGAGAGAACAGGGGTCAGCCTACACATAAAGTCAACCAAATCTGAATAAAGTTCTCATCTGACCTCAGAATCAGAAGATGTTTCATCTACAATAACTTAAGTTTTACCTTCATACTGTGAATATTTCCAGCTACAGGCCCTCAGAGGACAAGATTTATACTTTCTCCACCATTTCTGAGCCTCGGAGCTTCATCATTACAGCACTTCTAATAAAAACTGCAACCGAATCAGTTTTACATCCGCTCCAGGTGTCACGATCTAAAGGTTCTGTTCGTATTTTCTAGAACCAACTTCTAGAGTTTCAACAGCAAAACTGCAGCAGTTTGTTGTCATGAAGTCATCGTGGCTAGAAGATGAGCCTCAAAATGTAGGTACTAAGAGATGGAATCCTGAAGAAAAACCAGAAATAAATTAGAATTTGTGTTAAAAGATCTGTAATTTAACACAAAAAAATTCCGTTTTGTGCAGAAATGTCAGTAAAGTTGCAAAAAACCAACTAAAGCAGCCAAATCAGTTCCATCCAGGTGTCACAATCTGCAAGCAAACAGTTTTATCTACAACCGACTTTAATCATCAGTATTATGGGATGTATCACAGTTTGAACTCTAGAACTATGACATAGAGTCACAGAAGCAATCATCGGTACTCTGGATGTGTTTCTGGTTTCTGATAATTCACCAGAGAAAACTTTAACAAGTGCATTCTGGGTAAACTTTCATATCAGCATGTGTGATGCTGGTTGGTCAGAACAAGTTCTAGACAAT